GTATGTGCTATGGTGAGCGCTGTGAATTGTGTAAGACTGTTGAATCACAGATCTGTACCTCTGAAGCAAATAATACATTATATGTTAAAAAAAAAGAAGATAGTAGGAAGGGAAAAATGAAGGGGGAAAATCGGAGGGGGAGACGAACCATGAGAGATTACGGACTCTGAAAAACAAACTGAGGGTTCTAGAGGGGAGGGTGGTGGGAGGATGGGTTAGCCTGGTGATCGGTATTAAAGAGGGTACGTTCTGCATGGAGCACTGGGTGTTAAACCCAAACAATGAATCATGGAACACTACATCAAAAACTAATGATGTAATGTATGGTGATTAACATAACATAATAATAATAAGAAAAAGAGGTTATATGGTGGGTGTTACTGTCTGAAATCTTTAAAAAATGTATTTTTGTTACTATGAATTTAAAGTAACTCCAACATAAAAAAAATACAACTTACTGAAGTTACAAATATCATTAAGTATGCTATTATTTTTTATATAAACTTCCATCCATTATGACTCAGATTGTCAGTGATTTCTTCTGATTGCCTGTATATAACTGTGCAGAAATATGAATGTGTTAAAATGATACCTATTATTTCCTTATTTATTTATTTTCATTTTATTATGTTATGCTAATCACCATACATTACATCATTAGTTTTTGATGTAGTGTTCCATGATTCATTGTTTGCGTATAACACCCAGTGCTCCATGCAATACGTGACCTCTTTAATACCCATCACCAGGCTAACCCATCCCCCCACCCTTCTCCCCTCTGGAGCCCTCAGTTTGTTTCTCAGAGTCCATAGTCTCTCATGGTTCATCTCCCCCTCCGATTCCCCCCCTTCATTTTTCCCTTCCTGCTATCTTCTTCTTCTTCTTCTTCTTCTTCTTCTTCTTCTTCTTCTTCTTCTTCTTCTTCTTAACATATAATGTATTATTTGTTTCAGAGGTACAGATCTATGATTCATCAGTCTTACACAATTCACAGCACTCACCATAGCACATACCCTCCCCAATGTCTATCACCCAGCCACCCCATCCCTCCCACCCCCCACCACTCCAGCAACCTTCAGTTTGTTTTCCTTATTTAAAGTTAATAAAAGTTTCTCATTGCTATGTTTAATAGAATTTGAATTGGGTTCAAGTGCACAACCCCCAAACATCATTATGTTAAGCCAGCCACATATTATAAATTTATCACAAAGGCTTATCTCTGATATGGTGGGATGCAAATAACATAGATTGCCCTACTCCTGAAGTCTTAGGATGGGCACTTCAGAGTCCACATGCCTCTGAAATGCCCTAAAAATTAATACAAAACTTTATATTCAGGTAACAATGTGCATTTTTCTGTGAGGTTTTTCATAACTTTCATCAGATTTTCAACGGCTATGGACAACTGTAGTACAAGCTAGTGTTTTAATATAAAAGATGACATAGATAATAGAACAATCAATCAAACAGGTGAAAAACCTTTGTAACTAAAGTGTAAAAACATCTCTATCCCATTTGATAACCTTATTCATTGCCAGTTTCCATAGACTATTATGTAGATCTTGAGTCTCCCCTGAAGGCCCTTATTAAAGGCATCTATTGTCAATTTATCAAACACCCAACTAGCTTGGTACACAAAAATTTGGGGTGGTGATGAAATGAATTTGAAAGAATTCAACCTGTTTTTCTTTGTTTCCAGTAATTATTTCCCTTAATTGTATTTGTGTACGTGTGTGTATTTTCAAAGTTTCTGGAAAAAAAAATACTTCTATCAAGTCACAGATTTTTTTTCAGCATCTAATAGTAATGATTAGGAAGGGAAATTCATGGGTTACCAATAGTGCCCCAAATTAAACTTGTTAAATTTGCTGCCAAGTGTCTATCTTATGATTAATT